GAGTGGTGCGTTGAGGTATATGTGAGTCAAAAACGTTTTATGGAGGCAAAGAAGGGAAATGTAGGAAAGTATAGTAGTACAACACTCTTATTGGGCTGTGCAAGCTTGGGTGGTAAATGCAGCAGCGAGGAGACGGTTGGAGGCAGTGGAGATGTCCTGTTTAATGGGCAAATGTGTGGTGTAAAATTTATACAGAAAAATTCGGAGTGTGGAAATTAGGGAGAAGGTGTGGCATGTTAATAAAAGTATTAGTCAGAGGCGAAGAGGGGTTGTTGAGGTGGTTTGGTCATTTAGAGAGAATGGATCAAAGTAGTTAGAATGACATGGAAAGCAATAAATCTATAGGGGAAGGAAGGCGGTGGTAGGGGTCGTCCTCGAAAGGGTTGGAGAGAGGGGGGGTAAAGGAGGTTTTGTGGGTAAGGGGCTTGGACTTCAGCAAGCGTGCCGTGAGCGTGTTAGATAGGAGTGAATGGGACGAATGGTACTTGGGACATGACGATCTGTTGGGAGTGTGAGCAGGGTAATATTTTAGTGAAGGGATTCAGGGGAAACCGGTTATTTTTCATTTTTTTTTTTTTATAGTCGGACTTGACGTCCTGGAAGGGAAGTAACAATGCTGCACTTTAAAGGAGGGGTTTGGGGGAATATTGGCCAGTTTGGAGGGGATCTGTTGTGTATCTTTTATGTGTATGCTTCTACGACTGTTGTATTCTGAGCACCTCTGCAAAAACAGTGATAATGTGCGAGTGTGGTGAAAAGTGTTGAAGATGATGAAAGGAATTTCTTTTTGGGGATTTTCTTTCTTTTTTGGGTCACCCTGCCTCGGTGGGAGCGGCCGACTTGTGAAAAAAAAAAAAAAAAAAAAAATGTATTATCTGATAAATTAAGTTCCGCTGTATTATTTTACTCTTTGTATAGAATCTCTTTGAATATTTACAGATGTTTTTTTAAAATTAACCTCATATTATTACTGTAATATTTTTTGTATCTATTTCATTGCAATTCTTTACATTCACAGAAACAATACTCAACAAACTACATTGCTCAATTAGCACAAAGTTTTGCCCATCGTTAAAAGTGTTGAAAAATATAACTATTTTTTTTAATTGCACATAGTCCGTTAACGAATTATTTTGGTTTAAATTTTAGATTAATCTATGTTAAAACTTACATGTACAGTGGGGGTTGGAAGTTCCTGCCAATGGTATCTATTTGCTATTTCTCTTTATTCATATAAATTTTAGTGGAGGATTGCCAATTCATGACAAGTTAGCATTCAAAACAAGTTGTTGTGACTGAAGAGTATTGTATACTCTACAGTTAGCAGGTTTTTGCTTATTATTTCCTAGACATATGTCTAGCATATGTTTCCTGAAGCCTGAAATATCTTAGACTGAATCTTGGGTTATTTCTATGGTGTATAAACTTCTTGAGATGTAGATCTGCATTCATTATAGTAATACTTATTGTCCCAATTTTTTTAATATTGAATACCTTGATATAAAATGTTTGCTAGTTATACCGTTTTGTCATTGTAGTTGCATATACTGTAAAATCCTCTCATAATGGGTGGAATATATTTTCTTGAAAATTTTGATTGCCGTTGAAAATTAGTTTTATGAAGTGAGGACCATATGGAAAAATAGGGCATATTATGTTCCAGAACCTCTAAGTTGCAAACTTATTTTTAATATTCTTCTAGTTAAAAATTTACTATGGTTTATTTAACCTTACATATGGTTAAGTCATTACTTGAAATATTTGAAGAGGAGGGAAGAGAAGTTTAACTGGGCTTTTGGGATCGAGTTAAAATTGGAAGATTTAACCAACTGACAAATTTTTGTGGTTACATATCAAAAAATGAAAGCCTTATGTCCTTTACCATATTGTACCAAACTCCTAGGAATTGCCACACCTATACCAAATGAACATATACCAAAGATAAAAGTATTTGATAGGGGCAGTGCAAAGAAAAAATTAAAAATGTGAATGCCAGCATAAACTGATGCCCTCAGCATCATAAAAATCACATATTTCCTTATTAAATTTTGCCATAATAAAGGAAAATCACATAGACATTGCACTGAGGTGAGTGCATTGTGAAGAATAACATATCAAATAAATAATGTAATGTGCTGCAACTTAAAAAATGTGGAGGGAGCCTCTCCAGGTGGTGTACAGAGAACTGCTGTTTCTGACTAGCAATATCGAGAGTACATGATTGCTATCAAATCTTAGATATGTAATCGAAATGTCTTAAACTTAGTGTGATCTATGCATAATGGGTCCTGTTTGTGTTTAGTCAAAGAACAAGTAATAGGTATAATCACATAGTGGCCAAACCAAAGCCAAATTCAGCAAGAAATAGTACGCCTCAATTTTCTTTTAAAAATATTACTCTTATGTGATTATTTATCATGGGCAGTAGTTAGCAGGAGACCTGCCCATACTACTTTCTCGTATTATCCAAAATAAATACTGCCTTGTCTAGCAAGATGGGGAGGAAGATCTATGTAAAATATAGGTGTCTGGACAGTCTCTGGTGTCATGTGACAGATGCATGTGATATTCACTACACTTATGGGTCTGAAAACTTATTCTCACTTTATTATCAAATATTATGGTCAACAGTTGTAGAAATACATATTAAGAGTAGATTAATCAGTCAAGGAAGGGGAATGTGTATTACATGGTTAAATAATTGGAAGAAAGTCTAACACTAAAC